AGCTGGAGTGGCGCGTTCGGTCTTGTGTCTTTTTCAAGATGTTCCCCCGCGAAGGCTTAAAAGAAGAACTCCTCTCACAACCCACCTCGGCAGTGTCTCTAATCCCTTTCAGTCATTGGCTTCGGAACCCTCTCTATCGAACATCAAACGACCCCGCTATCGTCGTCGCTCTCTAATGAAATCACAGCAGTTCGTTCGAACCGGAATAGGCTTAGTGTTGACTACGACATCGGAGAAAGAGAAGCTGGAGGAAGTCTGAGCCCCACGCGATCGCTTTCGCCGCTTAGCCATGGTCAAAGGATCGAACGTAGTGTTCGCGGCTCGGACGTTGGAACTTCCTCGACACCACACAACCCTCGAGGGGCCTTTGAATATCGAGATGGCAGCCCGATATGGACGTTACCCCACAGCTGCAAGCCTTCCACCGGCTGAGCAAGGGGAGCGTTCGGTCGGTCGAATGGTTCGGGAACAATGGAACCTTCACCGCTGCGTTTACCACTTTCAGCACCGTCACCACTCGTGCTACGACGACCGCGGTTAGGGTTTTCGCCGGGCGATCACTGTCGATGATACGATCGGGGCGTCGATAAAGGGGATTCAAAGTGCCGACCTCCCTCTACAGAGGACAGCGGGGAGGCTTCTCCGACGGGGCTTCGCGCAAAGATGCCCGGAAGGGTCGATTGGCGAAGGAGATGGGGGTTGACCGTCGCCGACTGCGCTCGCACCCCGAAGGCTACAATGGCGCTATCTAAGAACCCCTCAATTATTCGACCAGTTGACATTGATTTATCTCGGCTGACAAATGTCTAAGTGCTGAACGACTCGCGAGCACAAACGCTCGACTTCTATCCGTAGAGCAGACACGGGCCCTTTGGAGATTTAAAGAATAGGTCTCGCCAATGAGCTCTTTCGGAGCCGGGCTTCAGATTCCCGAAATCTACGGAGAGGTGCGCGGGGATTTCAGATAGCGGCGATTGGACCCATGGGATTGTCGGTGAGTGCAGCTTCGTTGATATCTATGGGAGCGTACATCAGACTCACCGTGGCGATTGACAGGGACAGTGGCTCCTTTCCTCACTAGTCACCTCTGTGCTTCGTGTTCGATTTTTGCCCTTCGCCTTGGGCCAACTCCTCGGGGACGTAACAGCACTCTCAATTATTTCTCCTGATATCACGTCTGCTTCAGGTATTCCGATTCTCGGCTCGCTTCAATCGCTCGCTCAAGTGAAATTCACGGGGCGGCTGAGAGCTCCGATGGACTTTCAGGCGGAACGTATAGGTACTTGAAGTTTTTGCCCCGTCTATCCTCTGACTGTATCTCAGTATCCTTGTTGTTCCAGCTCCCGGGAACCCGAAGCTGTCGATCACCAAGGGGGTGTAAGATCTCCGGTCGGCTGGGGGGGAACCTTTCTCTCCCCAGGAGTCTCTCGTCATCAAACTCCGCTCTGACGAGGCTTCTCATACGGGGGTAAAGCGACTGCCCGGATAAGGAAGAGTCAGGGAAAAAAGGAAGAATCAATGGCTGCGTCCCAATCCACCGCCGAGCCAGAACTATCGGAAAGCACCCGTCAGCAGCCTGACCGGTTCCCACTTTTCGTTTCCAGCCGGGCTTGCTGCGAGCTCGGCCTGCTTTCTCGGATCGGAACGTCGGAATGGTAAGAGCGTCAACTCCACTTTCTGGAGGAAGTCGAATCAAGGAAGCTCTGAAACGTTTGACGCCGATTTATCGGTTCGGTCATGCTGAACGCGCGGTCCCCAGACTCGACGCGTGCTCGTCTACTCCCAAACACACCCGGGGTGGACTATGGGCTCGCGAAGGCCCGAAAGCCTATTTTGCCATGATACCGTTCGCGGACTCCGGGAATACAGACGATTGGAAGGGGACTCCCTGGGAGCCGTGTGAAGTGTAGACTACCACTGCTTCAAGTTGGCGACTGAGGTCAAGCAGTTTCATCCAGGCCTGCTTTGAATCACCATCGACGCGGAACTGAGATATCACCACTCGAATAAAGATTCTTTGGGCAAGAGGTGGTTCTCTCGACTTTTATTCCGATTGCGTCAGAACAGAGGGTGTGTTGAGCCTGACCGAATCCTTCATTTCTGAGGCCTAGTCTCGACCCGCGAGATTCGCTCGAGAGAGCCCCGGCGGAATTTCCGGATTTTTCTCAGTGTTCGTCTTCATCCTCCTCTCGGACGGCACCGCATAACAAGCGGCTCAGACTCCGACGAAGCCGACCGGCTGATTCGCTCCCTTGAGGGGAAAAAGCTCTCGGCCGTCGGCGAGCTGAGCGAAGAGCTCGGCGAGGAGCTAGCATTATACTCCTTGTCGACCGTCTATATCTCCCGCTGCTCTCACTACTCCTCCTCGGAGTCGAAACCTCCTCCGCAATTCCCCCTTCTCGCTTCCAGTTCTTCTTCCCCTTCAAGGTGCCGTTAATTGGAGCAGGTAGGAGAAGCTGCGGCGGCTTCGGAGGGACTCGTTTATAGCTTTTGGGGCTCCGCTAGGCTATTCGTTTCTCTTTGTCTTCTTTCACAGCTTTTGTTTTGCTTCCGTCTTCTCCGCCACTTCCGCCTTATCTCCCACCTTCAACAAGCTGTCCAGCCGCTGGCTGAAGTCGCTGGACGTCCTCCTGGAGAGCTGGATGATACGCATTTCATGGCGTCCGTTTTTCAGAGGTGAAGGAAAAGGCTTTGCGGCTCATTACCGCATTGTTGATTCCTTTGCTCGTTGCGGAATGCAGCGAGTCGGAGACGGTGCAGCGAGAGACTTACGGGCGAATCTCCGGCATGCTCGGGTCTGCTGGCGCCGCACACAGCGGTTTCTTCGCACCACCGGTCGACTCGGTTGTCCGGGCAACTCAAACCCCAGAACCGTGGTCGGCCGGAGGTCATAGCTCACCCTCAACGAAAACGGACCTTAACGCAGACCAGACGCATTACAAATCCCCCATTCTGGCCTCCGGCGTTCGTTCGCAGTCAAGGTCTCCCAACAGCGCTTCTTGCAAACATTAATTTCGGTGAGCGCGACCCTTTCCCCGGAACGCCTCTCAAATTGTCCATCCGCGGCTCTCCTTCTGCCAAACCGAAATTGCACTCGTGTCTGGACGCGTATTCGGGCGTATAGCTCCCGTTCGGCCTCGAACGCGCCTCTGCGATGCCGCTCGAAGAGAGGATAGCTGCACGGATGTTTCGTGGCCTCCCCTCGATTCTGTCTCGAGCATCTCCGATTCTGTCTCTTCGAGCTGCTGTCGATTCCGAAGGGAATGCAGTGCGAGATGGATTGGTCGATCTCGGGGGCGACGCTGCTCCAATGTCTAGATTGAATCCACTCAAATCCGACTCGAGCCGCCGCTTGCATCGGTGACGACATTTGAGGGAAATTGAAAAATTGTCGGAACATCTCTCGTTAGACGGATCTCGAGAGTCTCCGATCCAGATCTTGAAGCCCCCAGAGGGTGCGTCGAATTCTATCGGTGATTGCAAGCTTATCGGCAAAGGGGGGGGGTGGGGATTGGCTGAAAGCCGACAGGAAAACGCGATGCTTCAAAGAAAGTTATCACTGTCATTTTCGTATTTATTATCATTCCACTCCATAAGAAATAACATAAGGTGTCTCTCGTGAGGATTGTGTAGAAGTTCACGACGACAAGATCGGACAGTTCGCTATTCCGGCCCTCAACCAGCTAAACACTCGGGGCATCCGGAACGAAAACCTGCCTGGTCTTTTGTCTTCTTCGCACGCTACAATTTCACCTTCGTCAGTATTCTGATTCGATTCCACGTCAACGAGCTTCCGCTGCATCGTTGATCAACGAGTTCCTGCGAGAATTTCCCGCGGATTCGAATCTCCATCGATCGTATTATTAGTTCGTCATTCCACTCCCGAGACCGATTTATCGCATCAAATCCGATTCTGCCCGATTCGTAAGTTCGGATGTCGGAGTGTCTCTTATTGAAGCCATTCGTCAGTGATTGGACACACGACTTACAAAATCCACCTTACTAGGAGTGATCGAACCGCGGGCACGCAGGTTCTGCTAGGGTAATTGCACATCCGGCTTCCAAGTTGCTACTCTGCAATTCTCTCATTTGCCATCCGCGCACGATGGTCACGGGGAGTTTACTTGTGAGAAAATTAAAAGTCGGAATTTCCGAAACTCGCGCTCATCCACGGACAGTTCTCGTAGAGGTTATCTACCACGGCGTCGTTCAACCTGGATCTGGCCGTATCGATAGATAGATAGATATTTTTATGTATAATTATATTTACAAAGGCCGACGGTGGCACCTCGACTCGCGTCGAGAGAAATCCACCGCGATTTGATTAAACATCAAACATCGGGTTGATCAATTTACACGATTCCCCCAGAATTTCGAAATTCAATGGTCGGAGAATGCGAGAAGACAAGGGGTTTCGAACCTTTGGTCTGACAACCGTTGCATTCGATTCTTACGGTGGACTTCTTCGCAGTAAGATAGGTACCGGGAAGGGACTCACGAGGGGGAGCGAGCGGATCGCGCGAAAAGCATGAATTTCTCTGATTCTCCTATGAATGATGAAGTCCGCCCACGGGAACAGACGATCGAGTCCTGATCAAGGACGTCAGTACAAAAAAAACTGATTCCGGAAAGCTCGGCACGGATTCCACAGAAGAAAAAAGTTCTGATTTGGTTAACATCGTCGATGTCATTTGTTGTTCACTGATGCGCTCAATGGAGCCTCGTGTTATCGCATTTATTGCTTGCAAACACACGGGCGACCTGCTCTACCTGTACTGCCTTGTAATAGGTAATGGTGTCTTTTCCTCTTGCTCTCTTCCCTTTTGAAGACTCCGAAGGATACACGAATGCTGGGTGTTCACCGAAATTTCATCTGATTCGGACCTCTTCGACGCCGTGAATTCTCTCTCGCACGGGTGTCCGAATCAAACGAATCCCGGAACTAGAAGGAGCCAATGATCATGATTCCTTTCTGCGACTATAGTCCCGGAAGCGAGGAGAGAAACGCTCACGCTACCTAGTTGTCTAATCCGATTGTGGTGTGTTGCTCTCCGAAACATCGTATCCGTAATTATTATTATTATTATTATATAATATAATTCGTGTTCCTCCAAATTGGGTACAAGCAGTCCAAAGTATCTTTATATCCATCAAGCATCGAGGCTCAACAATAAAAGTTGTCGCAGTGGTCAGATATGCTTCGTACTTTGTTCCGGTTCATAAGGACCGTTCTTAGGGCTTCGTTCGGATGTTTTTCTCCTCTACGGGTTCTTCTTTACATTGACTATCGCATCGTCCGGGTCGAGTTCTCTTCCGACGCAGTCCTCCGCGGCTCCCTTCCCAATTTCTCTCTCTATCTAATCCGACGGTTCTTCTTTTGTACAGATATTCGAGGAGTTGCTCCGTGCTTCAGTTGCCCCTTGTCCTCGCGAAGCCCTACAGCGACGGTTCGACCACCACTCCGACGAATCGAATCGAAGCGAACTTCAGCAAGAGCTTCTCCAATCGTCGATGAAGTGACGCAGTCGATGGAGAGCGAGCGCAGGACAGAAGGGAGGAGCTGTTGACGATGTTTTGATCACACGGAACAATCCACCGAAGGACGTCGATGATGGAAACGCCACCGGAGACTCCCGACCTCGGGCGTCGGGACCGCGGGAGTTGCTTATCAGTTCAGTCGGTCGCTCCTCCGCTCGATCGACACATCCCGACCTTAAGGACTTCTGACCCAGACGAGTAGACGAGGATGAACAACATTTCCGATTTCGCAGTTGACCGTCCGTGTTTTGCCATTGATAACGAACACGGCTTCGTTGGCTGAGGTGACCATATAAGTGCCGAATATTCCCGCACTCGCTATGGGTCGTCGAGAGTTGCCCCATTCAGACGAACGAGGATCTATTGCGCGACCTATACCAGTGATCATTTCGACCTTGCCGTCTTGAAGGTTAACGAGAAGAATATCTTCCTTGTTCGAGGATGACGCATACAGATCATACGAGTGGGACGTCCTCGATGAGAAGAATGTCAGGTCAGCGATGCGTAGTGTCGTCTTCACGTCGAACAAGAAGTGCAGACCTGCGAACCAGAAGAGTTCCACTTGATGAAACGTGCGCGTCCCGACCCTAACAACCTCTCAACGATCCGAGCACGCGCTGATCGCTGCTCCGACCGAGGGAAAGGCCGAGCCGGACTGGGATTCCCGGCGATTCCCACGCCCTCCCACCCGACGTCGGAATCGTGTCTACAACCCACCTGAATCAGTTACGGCCTGTACAACGATGGTGATATCGTTAGAAGAATTTTTCTCCTTGTCTGATGGCGAGTGCAGGGTCACGACGTATTGCGAGTCGGGCGAAACATGGGGTTTGCCGAGAAGAGTCGCTTTGAACGATACAACCTCGTCGGTCAGGTAGTCGAGCACTAGCTGCCCGTTGGCGGACCCGGTGTCGGGGTCCATGCATGAGACGACGATGAAGCCACCTGGGAAATAAGCGCAGCCAAGCTAAGTGAACCTGACTCACCACCATAAGGGAAAAGCCATAACAGTTCGTTACTCCGTTGACTGCGAGACGTTTGTTAGAGCGGCGACGACGGTGGCAGTGGCGTCAACGTGGACTGCGAGAAAGCAATCCGGCGGCTCGTTGTCGCCGTCACCGACCACTGGTCCTTTCACTGTCGCCACTTCGGCCAACGAAAGGAGGCAACAACTGGAGGAATATAAATGGAATCAAGGTCCTCCCCGTTCTTTTACGAACACAAAAAACTCTTCGAGCCGCAACAGAGGGCAGCCCTAATCTCTCGCTCGACAGGACTAGATGCGGTCGGAGGGACGGACGGTGGTTCGACCGACCGCCCGGTCGGACTGCTTGGAAAATCGGATCCCAGGATCACACGGTCGCGCGGGCCGTGATGCAGCCTCTGGTGGTTTTGGTGGCGGTGCGTACGCCGCATGTCAACTTAAACGACAGCTGCCACTAGCTGTCGCTCGCGTGGGCTCCGCAACAACACTGGAAGCGATGGCGGCCGCTTCTGCCGCTCCAGCTACAACAACGCGAACGTCAAATGCGGGAGTGAAAAAAACTCTAACGAGAGAGAATGGGAACTGTTGGGAGAGGAATCGGCATTCGCTATTCTCGTCGCGTCAATTCGCGCCTCGTCCGTCCGAAGGTCGTCGCTGTCGACTGCGTCTCGAGCCGACAGACTTCAGACAGGAAAGCGACTCCAGAAGTGAGAAAAGAAGAGAGCAGCGCTTCGAAGGATATTCGCGAGCCTAATGGAATTCTTCACGGTCTCCAGGCGACTTGGGCTCACGGTACTCGATCGATACGTGGGATCGTACGATATACGTACAACGGCGGGAAATTAAGAAAATCGAGAGATTTCTTCGCATCAGCTGTTGAGCGGACCTCGTTCCTGACGGCCGGGTCGCGAGCTAGCTACGAGGTCGAGGTGCCGCCTCACCACAACATGCAAGCAATACCGGCATATCCTACTCACCGAGAGCAGCGAAGTCTGCCCCGATCGGGTGGCAGGTGATGTTGGCAAACTCGATTGTTTTCACGTATTTCATCGCTCGCAGATCCATCTTGGACAGGCCATTCTGACCCGAGTGGACGACGTATCCATACTTCCATGGGAAGCCGAGGTCAGACGTTGAGGGTATGAACAGAGAGCTCACGAGGTCGAAGTGGCCGTCGACAGGCTCTGGATGGACGGTGTGGTGTTTCTTCTTCTGCGATGCGTCCCGAATAATTTGTATCGTTTTCGTTCCTCGGTCCACGGGTCCTCGCCAGCAGAGAACCCACAGCTGATCGAGATGGGGGACGTAGTAGAGCTCCACTGGGAATTTATCGGTGACCACAACCTGCAAACCGGAAAGCATCGGAGTGAAAAACTTTTCCAAGCCACGAAGCGAACTATTGCCGCTCTCTCTCTCTGTTCCGTGAGAGGAATTCCGACGATTCCGTCTCTAGGGACGGAGTTGACCTCCAACAAAGTCTGACCAGCCGAGCGACCGTTCATTCATAGCTGTTCCGCATTCGACCCGCTCCCGAAATATGCGTAGATGTTCGGTTCAGCGAGCTGACCGAACAGTCGGCTGACGAAATGCCTGAATCCGTCCATGGGAGTCTGGGGTGCGGGAGCCTGCATACAGGCACGCTTCCACTCTTATCTTACTCCCAGAACACTCGACTTGCCGGAGACAGCCAGATGCCTGGCTACGGAGCAAATGACAACAAGCTGCAATGAGGAGACGGCTGCGGGCGGGGTAGGGAACATGCAAATGAGAATGGTCGACTGGCCAGGGCCCCAGCACATCTACCGAAGCCACACCAACAACAACTGCAGCAGTGTTGATGTTGTGCTCCACCACATCGCTCTCTTCGGGCGTTTCTGCCTCTCCTGTACGGGCCAGATAAGAGATAAGGCACGCGCAGACTACTTTGCCTGCAAACGACAAGCGACGACGACGACAAGGGCAGAAGCAACAACGATGAGTGCCGGAGCAACAACAACAACAACACTGAGCTGCAGATGTGCGCAATGGTGATGCAGAAGGCGAACGGGTCGTACTGCTAAATGAACGGCTTGCAGCTGTTTCTGGTGCTGCTGCAACTAAGTGTTCCATCGGCACGGTTCGTCGTACATCGAGATCAACGAGCAGACGCGCATACTGCTCGTTGAACGCAAAGCGAGCAGCTGACTATGCTCCTGATGAGCGAAGAAAAACACACAGCACGCAGATAAAGACTAGCGGAGATACTCACGTCGACGACGACCATTTGCACGCGCGAAATGACGAGAACCCGTCCTTTGGTCGGCTGCGAGACGTAAACGTAGCGATCGGCAACGTTGATAGCCCGGCCCCACGAGCAAGGATGTCCTCGTTCGGCGCAAAGGTTCTCCTGAGTACCGGGGATTATGTCGACTGACTGGACTTGGTGATAAAGACGGCAGTTGTCAGGATCGTAGACGGATATGCCCCAGTCGTGGAAGGCGAAGAAACGTCTCTCTTCCGCAGGTGGAGCTGTTGACGAATTGCCTCGTCACTCAAGGATCTTCTCGATTGAGCACTCGCTCCTAATACAATTCCCAGCATCCTCCTGATTCCTCCCAATACCGGACTCTCGCTTCGAACGGAGAATGGAATTCGCTCAAACTCACTCGGTGCGGGCTCGTCCTGGACGACGAGCGATGAGATGTCCCTCGAAGAGCCGGCTGGGCTCGATGCCACGCACATGTAAGCACCGGTGTCCGAATACGTAATTTTGCTGACCATCAGCGCGGTGCCGTTACCGACGATCGTATACTTATCGGCAAGCATCTTTAGATCCTCGTCGTTCTTCAGCCATTTGACTTTGGGAACCGGTACCCCGGTGACGTGACACTCCATCTCGGCGAGCTCGCCCGGCGCACGCGACTGAATGCGGGGTATTACGTGGACCTCAGGTAGCGCTGAAATAGCACGGATTCAGCCCGTCAGTTATTCGTCGACGTCGCCGCCGCGGCGACAATTTGTCTTGCGAGCGTCAATCTCCTCCCTCTCGGCCGCTATGAGTAAGCTGCTACTCACTGTGGATGTGGAGCACGTGCGTCTGTACGATGTTCAAATTCTTCTGAGCATGACAAGTGTAGTTTCCGGAGTGAACAAGCTGTACGTTTGTCAAGTAGAGCGATCCATCAACGAAAACCTGTAGGGCGAGACAAGAGGATCCGATAAATCACGATTCCGGCAGAAGCATCCAGACGTGCTACGACGGCAACCTTGCTCCCCGTGAATGCTCAATGAGGCTGAATATGATGCATTCATAGTTAATCTCGTAATGCTCCGTAGTCTCGTTCAACCAGATGGGATCGATCGAGTTTCGTAGATTTCCACTCTCAACGATAAGCTGCTGAAAGCCCCAGTGACCACCCACCTTGATCTCTTCTTCGTTCAGAGCGTTGAGATCGAAACCGTTTCTCCGCCATACGATGGGAGGTGGGGGAGATCCGGTGACATCGCATTTGATTTCGACGTTGTCACCCACCCGCGCCTGAACGATGGCCACTTCCAACTTCTTCTCGAGCGAAACCATCTGAACGCCTGCGAAGCATTTCCTCTTGTCAGTCCGGATAGGCCCCGCATCTCAGGTTACTAATGACACCTACTAGAAAACTGGTACCCTTGCGCAAACCGGTCATTAGAGCGGGAAACTTGCCGCTCCCAGCGCGCCCGCCTGCTCGCTCGCTCGTTCGTTCGTTCGGGGAGACGGTCGGATGACTGGCTGTTCGAGTGCAATTAAACCACCAAGAGGTCTAAGCTCGCCAGTGAAATTCCGCTCGACTGAATCATCGTCGTCGTCAGCGCTGGATCCCCGCGCCCGGATATCGCGACTGTTGCCCCGCATCGTCCATACCATCCTAGAGGATTTTACGGACGCAGGCAGAGGACGTTAGCTCGGTGGGAGGCGACGCGACGGAGAAGGACCGAGTGGGGGTGGGAAAAAGCACCAAGTTGTTCGTCAATGGCCGTCTTTTCGACAATCGAATCCCCATCATCGCCGTAGCATAGATGTCTCCCCGGCGAACGGGCGGACACCCATCCATTCTCCCACACACCACCCGCTCGTTCCATCGTCTCATCTTCCAACTACCCGCTGCCGTCATTCGCGCCCAATATTTGAATACAGCAGAAAAGCAGAGGGGGCGGCGACACCGAAGCCAACGACGACGAATCAAGCCTTCGAGGAACAAAGGCATCGTCGACCAACGATGGAAGACCGAACAATCGCTCGACATCAGGACCAGACTCCCCTCCAGATATTAGGTGAGAAGCGCGCAGAGGCTGCTGTTGCCGTTCGGCGAGGCCGACGGTGCGAGTTTGTTGTTGAGAGTTAATGGAAGTTCAGATTACGTCAAAGCAAATCAATGAAAGTGTGTGTGCCGTTGGCTGGCGACTTCGGGAGCCGTCGTCGTCGTCACAGGAAACGAGGAAATGTGCCGAGGGGAAATTCTCAAAGGAGGAAAGAGCTCGGTCCGCGAACTCCAGCGGGGACGACGACGACGGCAGAAAGGCGACGGGAGAGAAACTTTGAGTGGGGAAATAAAAAGGAGCGAAGAACAAACATTTTGATCCGGTTTCTCCGTCAACAAGAAACTCACTGTCGAGTTTGTTGAAGGCTCCGTAGAACTCGGCCACTGAGAGTTTGCCATCTTTGTCCACATCGTCGAATAGCAGCATGTCGGCTAAGATGCAAGCTTGCGATAATTGAGACATTTTGTCATCTTCCGAAGCTTTCCACAACTCTTCGCCTTGCAGATAGTTGTCGGCGTTGGTGTCGTAGTGTGCGAACATCGAGGCCATCAACGAGTCCGAACCTGCAACAATTAGGATCCGAGTTTAGAATTCGGGCGGCACCCCGTCGTGTCCTCGTCGGTGTTAATCCGAGTCGAGCGCCAAATCGCTCGAGCTCATTACGATTCGCGGTCGCTGGTAATCGACTCCGGCACGGCGGGACAGAGTCTCCACGTGGCTTACCTCCAAGTCTTTTGACTTCACCGTTCTTCGAATAGAACAGCAGGAGGTTCTCTTTCATGAAATCGTAATCTTGCTGACAGCATTCTTGATCTTCGAGGGATCCCGACTCCGGCTCCATTCCTTCTTCCGCGGAAACCTCCAATGCTGCAAAATGCAAAATCGAAATTTGATTCAATATCGGGACCGGGTGACTGCTGAACAGGAGGGAAGACTACGTCCGCATTCCCCCTCTTGAAGATTGCGGGTTCGTGTGAATATACTCACAATCCTTCGTCGTTGTGCTCCGGGACGTTGAAGTGGACGACGTGGTACTGCTGACCTCGACCCAGGCCAAGTCTGAGTCCACCCGAGGTTTCTTCTTGAACTGTTTCTTCGAAAAATCTTTTTTCGAACACAGTCCTTTGTGGTCGACCTGTAGATCCGAGTTCGAGAGACAGGCCGCTTTCCGAAGCTCGCAGCGGTTCTGGTAGTACCTCCCGTCAGATCCACAAATCATTTTCTTCTTCCTCGGACATTTCCTTTGACAGACGCACTGGGCTTCGTTAGCCTCAGTGACAATGCAGTCTTTCCATCGACCGCAGTCTTTGCTCTCGCAAGGATCATCTGCTGGCAAGGAAATGATGGCGGGTAAGAAACTCGTTTCAAAGTTGTTAAGGCAGAAAAAATTAAGAGTCTCTCATGAGTCTCGCGGAGCCGGCTGCCTAGTCGGGTTTCTCAATTATTTTTCTCGTCCGGAAACCTAGAGCTAGCCCACGGCATCGATGAGCCGGGAAAGAATCATTCCATCGCTGATGACATCGAGCGAGGAAATGACAAGCGTAGCAACAGACGGAGCAGGGACATCTGGTTAAATAATAATCAACGGAACTCTACCAAGCTGTCAAAGTCAGGTGACACGCACACAAATTAACAAAAGAACGAACAGCGTAGGACTGCCAGTCCCGGGAGCAGTCGGCCGAAATCAGCTCCGACACCGCCGCCGTAGAGTCCCGTCAGGAAAAAACAAATCATGCCAATCAAGTCTCGGAGAACTGGTTACCGGAAGAGTCTCGACTGTGCGAACCAGATAGTCTCCATGAACGAGCAATGTTCTATTCCAGAGACTGGTCCGAGATTCGGGGAGGTATTTTCCCCGAGACCGATTCGAGCGGAATGTGGAGGAATTCCTACCTTGTGCAGATGCTTCATCTTCGTCAGCTTGTTCTTCAAGCTCGTTCGGGAAATCTTTCGACATCTCCTCCGGGTTGTCTTCATCACTCCGTTCCCCATCTCTAATATGTCGCGACTGCAAGGAACATTGACGATCAATCAGTGAACGATTGCGATTTTTGATTACAAGCTAAGATCTTCTAGAACAATTTAGAAGCATGGATCTTCTGTGAGAAGTTGATTTATTGCGGGATACTCCGGGATTCCGTGAGCTCCATTCGTACAGTCTCTCCCGCTTCAGATCCGCGCTTTCATGCGCTCTTTGTTTTATGAGCTAAGTACAAATAACGGCTGTTATCTGCTACCACCGCTGCTGTCTACTCGTTGGCTTCTCCCAGTGAAGTTTATACTTGCTCCGTGCCGAGCGTACCATCGTAAAGCCGCTGCCGTCTTCGGTGGCGGCCGACTCCCCGAGTCGGCGAGCCGCTGTCTTCCATATCCCCGTAGGGGCCCCGACGGAGGCCATCCCAATTTCCCCTCAGGCGGATACTATAAAGTGAGTCTGCCGACAGCCGAGCCTGCAGCAGCGTCGGGATTCTCGATCCACCAGGCGCGAGTTCTATCTTCTTTCTATGTGAAAGTCTAGATCCGAAACTCGCGCTCTTTGTCACTGCCGATGAGATGCCATCTTCCTCTCAATCATCGTACGGATCGACCACTGTCCGCGTTTCTTTGGATCACGGAATTCGGTGATCCCATTGAGCAGCCACAGAGTCCGTATGTGCGCTCGCTCGGCAAGTCCGCTGTCCGGAAGAAATGCGAGAGGAAAGAGGTCTCAACAAGCCACCAAGGGAGCCCCCTGTGCGGAGTGAATTCCCCCGGTCGTCAGAACTATCGACGACCAGTTGAAGCCGAAATCAGAGCCACGGAGCAAAGCGGAGAGAGAAAAAGAGGGCGACGAGATGAGAAGGCGTCAGGGAGACCAAAGCCGATTTTATCTTCCTTACTGCAGCTCCCTGTTTGGAACGAAAGCTGAAGGGAGACTGCCGACGAGCTCAACGGTGAGTTCAACGCCAAGTCCAACGGAGAGTCCAAAAGCCGGCCGACGTGCCTCGAATCAAAGCCTGACAGACGGCACACGGACCGCCGCACAGAGGAACGGACAGACAAAGAAAAGAAGGAGACCATCTGAGAATCAAGGAACAACATCTGCTCTCCAGCGTCGAAATCTGAAAACCCATAGCCATCAACTTTCTTCATTTCGAAACCCATAAAGTCTGAAATCGCATCATACGCTCAGCTCCCAACACACGAAACATGTCCACCTGTGCGCCGAATTAGAGTCGGGGTCCGCATCATCATTTGGAAAAGTGTATCACACCCTGATCAGAAAAGGGAAAAAATCTACAGGCAAGAACCACATCGATTGGAAGCTCTCAACGATGAGGGGATTCTCCTCCCCATGACACTCGAACTTTGCCTTCTGACAACTTTCCCACAGGGAATCACGAATATATTTTTGGAAATCCTGCGACGCACATCGGAACCCGACGGAGTACGAGAAGGAACGAGATTCGGGATCAGAAATCCGAGAAAAATCCGACGGTATTCCTCCCTCAGCGCAGAGGAGTCAGCGCGTCGGGAATGATGAGCGAAATTCTATCCTGATCGATAAAGGGTCTAATGCCGCATTGCATGCGACACCGAGCGATGGAATCGTCTCCGGTGAGTCCCCCAGCATAGTTTTGAAAACTCCGGCTACGAGAACGTCATGCACGTTGTATGTGTTCGCAACTTGGTGAGCGATCATGGCGGTGTAGCTCACGAACTTTCATACGGGCACAACATCATGATGAGACTAGACGATGATCTCGTATTCGCTTGGTCTCCTTTCTCAGTTGGCTTCACTCGGGAAGGGTTTGTCGTTTCGTAGAAAAGCTCGCTTCGTGTGAAAGCTCTTCATAAATGTCAGCGACCCGTCGCCGGTCGGCCAAGAGGAACCTAGCGCGCTACCGCTGTCTGCTCGGGTCGTGGAAGGAGGAAAGAAACGACACGAGAGTCACTACGCAGGCCAGGCGGTAAACTCTTCCTCGGCGCAGGGTGCAGCGGACTGAAGCAAGATACCACTTCAAGTTTCCCAGGAGCGGAGCTATGGGGAAACCCCCAGGAGGGAAAAGGGAGAGGTAGCCACATCAGCCCCGCGTCGTTGAAAACCGACTGAAGGCAGGGAAACCAACACGGTTTGTTCGGTCGGGAATGGGTTGTGTGTTTCCGTCGGCTCTTCCGCGGGGTGGGGTGAACACAGAAGCCCGCCACCGAATGAGAATTCCCTTTGCGCACCGCGCAGAGAAATTACTCGATCAGAGAAATGAGCGTTAGGGTTCCGTTAGAACGCAACCCCGACACGGAATGTTATGAGGGGATGAGAGGCGCCGAAGGATCTAGAGGCAGAGGAGGAGCAGCAACGAGAGAGTCGGGCAGGGAAGAGAGCGCGACAGGCATCGGGACGGCTCTCACAGAGGTGGCTGGAGAGACGACATGTTGTAGATTATCGAGCCACGTTTCAATGGGTCAGTTACCACCGGGTCATGATGGCCTACGGTATCCATTGGGAATTCAGCTCGAGGCCTTTCTCGCCAAACCACAGCGATGCTTGGAATTCGCCCCGCGTCATTCTTCCAGTCGATTTCCGAAGTTCAACACCTCGCTCTGCTCGCTCGCTGCGATGCATCAAATTCCACCGGAAACCATCTCGGAGAGCCGAGCGTTAGAATCGACCTTTCCGTTCCTCTTGAACGCGAAAAGCGTGGGGTCCATCACTAAGATACGCAGGTCATACGGAATGGTCTGTCAAAGTCCTTCCCGTGGATCTATTTCAGTCGCTCGGACACGTATACCTGAATTTCGGAATGCGCCCGTAGTGAGACTGGCCTCTTATGCTTTTTGAGCGCCCGAAACCTACTCCTCTGTAAGAGCCTGTTCCCCGATGAGGTAGAATATTCACGGCATCATCGGAGAGGTGCAGTACCTGCTCCTCGTTTATATCCGTGGAGCTCCTCTAGGCTCGTCTATGGTGCCCAAGTAAACTTAACATCGGCGTAATTCTTGCGATAAAGTATATCTATATAGTATAATTCAAATACTTACTCTCGCACTGACGGCGACCGTCCCTAACAGTAATAGGAACAGGAGTGAGGATAGACGCCACCTCATCCTGGAAGGAGAAAAGAAAACATCTTAGATCCATGACGTCCCGGCTCATTCGCATGCAAAACTTGATTTAGTGACGATTCTCCAACATCCCAATCGCAGCCTCGGAACAAAAGGAGCTCCGTGGAAGAAACTCCTCTTGTGATCAGTACTGCTCTCAAATGCCACCACATGGCAGGCTCAACGTTGTCACGCGCAACAAGCTCCGAGCAGGGATACCCGTCGAAGCCTCATGCGGATTCGCGTCGAGTCTGTCGGAGGGGATTGTTTATACCCGGCTTCCCATTCGATTCTTCTCTGTGGTTCATCGATCTTCGTCAAAATTTGCCTCTACCCCTGGACTTATCTTTCGGGAAGAGTCTGCGTACCAGTGCACGTTTCGCGACGTGCGCCGTCCCGTCGAAACAAATTCCTACGGGAACGACGTGGGACTGGGATCAAATCAGACGAGGTACCCGGAACTTCATACCAATTTTGTTCAGTACGTTCAGATGGAGTGCAATGCGACTGCCCTCCGCGATCAGGTGTTTTACTTACTAGATGGAGGATTCCCGGTAGAAGCTTCGGGAGCCCTCGGGGGCGAGAGTCTTGGCAGTGTTCCTTTCTCGGTCAGTAAAGTGCGTTGACAGAGGGCGTGGGTTTCTCTATCAACGGGATCACTCTGGAAAAGCGTGATTCGCCGTCGATTGCAGGAAAAATAAAGCGAGACTTCCACAGCAGCGGACAAAAACACGCTTATCGGTGATCAAGTCGGAAGATAGGGATGAGAAAAAGCAGGAAGAGATTGTTCATTGTTTCTTCCGCAGCCCCGCAGGGCGAAAGTTCCCATTCTAAGGAGCTCTTCCTATCTCGTTTTCCGTCTCTCTTCCTGAGTTCGATCGACAAGTCCACAAAAAAGAGCTGTCTCTCCCCTCCAACCCTGCTGCTGGCACCATCGGCCCGTTGCACTTATGGCCTCACTTTTTTTCTATCGGCCCAGCTCCCTAGATCATCAGCCATCCAACAGGAGGCGATTCAA